AATTGACGTATCGAAAAGATATTCCCTTTTTTACCACCTTACCATTCTGATTGATTTTGCACATGACTGACATGTTTTAACTGGAGAAGGGGTTCCCACAGTGGTAGTTTTATAAACCACTTTTAATTTATTGACCTATTATACTTAGTGGTAGTTTTATAGACCACATTTAATTTATTAACTTATCATACTTAGTATTTTTTTTGGTGACTGTATCACCCAGTTTTAACATTTGATAATTGTACAGTTTATTGACGACACATTGACTGAATGTTATTTTATATTCTAATTTATATTCTAGATATTTTATTTATTTTACAACAGACGACAACTTCCTGTTTTTTCTTCTATATTAGTTACTCATATCTCTTGTACAGACTTTTTTACAAGGACATTGACAAATGATACTCACATTAGGCATTCATTATTGCATCTAAATTATTTCACTTGCATTAGGCTTAGAAATTTATTCTCTGGTCAACAGATTTCAAATGTTTAATTAATTTGTAGTATGACAGTAAGGTATATAAGAAGTTATTTAATTTTGCTTGGGCTATTATATTGACTAGGTATTGAGGTTTAATGATGATATGGAATTTGAATTCTATATAAATTTACACTATGTGGTTGGGGCATTTTGCATAGTAAATATGGTTACTACTCATATATATCATATTATTTGATTGGTATTCGATTTCTGATTATTTCTTAGGAATATGATTATTATATCTCAATTTGGCTTTAGGTAGGGTGCCCCGCTAAAAGAACTGGATTCTTCCAGGAAGCATCCCGTGCACAGACCTTGATCTACATATATATTAAATTATTAACCATTCATTCTGTATGTGCACGAAAATTTATTTCAATTCAATTCAATATTTGATTTTTGATATTTCATATTATATAATATTGGTAGCAGTGGACAATTTCCGTTACCTCTGTATTGTGCTCTGCCAATTGCAACACTTGAATTAATTTATTGTATATAGTATATACTGTTTGACACAACAAAAAAAAAGCGATCAATAGACTAGCAAGCTAGGTAAATTGATCATTTGACTAAGTTTGCCATCAGTACTGGTCACTTTAAGGATTGATTTTTTTTTTTTTTTTTTTTTTTTGTCGCGACACCCACTGACCACCGTCATATAGAGGTGGCGACCCTCCACTTGGGGAGCGTCCTACTGGAGTCCATCTATCTGCATTAAGCCCCTTCCCTGAGGGCCACTGGATGATAATACCTGCTAAGGTATAAGCCGAATCGGGGTTGCACCTCCGGAGATTTACTAACTTGGTCCCTAGGGAAGTTCTGGGTGGTTACCCTGGCCGCTCAACACCATGAAAGGATGACGCCCGTGCTGAGTAATGCTGGCTCTTGAGACTTGGTGAGACGTAGGTTGCTAATGGCGGTTGCGGGTGTGCTAACGTTTGGATAGTGTGTTAGGTGGTGGGGAACTGTATTGATACTATCTGCCTTTTGGTGGCTGAGCTAAAACGTGAGGGTTTGTGACGTCACGTGAGGTGGACTCTCACTCAGTCCAGAAATAACAGGAGCAGGGATCATATTGTACGACACAGGAAAAACAGGTTCTGATCCAGGGTCCATTTATGCCATTACACACATTACACACGTTTGGTGTGGTAACTACTATACATTACTCCCATAACACTCCCACAATGTAGCGATACTCCCATTACACTCCCACATTGTAGCGATACTCCCATTACACTCCCACAATGTAGCAATACTCCCATAATACTCCCACATTGTAGCGATACTCCCATTACACTCCCACATTGTAGCGATACTCCCATTACACTCCCATATTGTAGCGATACTCCCATTACACTCCCACATTGTAGCGATACTCCCATTACACTCCCATATTGTAGCGATACTCCCATTACACTCCCACATTGTAGCGATACTCCCATTACACTCCCATATTGTAGCGATACTCCCATTACACTCCCATATTGTAGCGATACTCCCATTACACTCCCACATTGTAGCGATACTCCCATTACACTCCCATATTGTAGCGATACTCCCATTACACTCCCACATTGTAGCGATACTCCCATTACACTCCCATATTGTAGCGATACTCCCATTACACTCCCATATTGTAGCGATACTCCCATTACACTCTCCGAGGGGGCGGCAAAATTGCAAACAGGGGGCAGCAAAACCCAGCGGGCTAATTAATGTAGAGACTGGCAAGCAGAACGGCTATATTAACAAGTGGTTTAATCCGGTTTGGCTTGTCATGATCGAAATACCGCACCGCGGCGTGAGGTTAGTGTCACGTGGGAGTCAGGTGAGTGTTATTGGTACTAGCGGGAAGCAGTTCTGTGCGCGCACCCGCTGTTTATGACTGCGCGCCAATCTTTGCTTATATCTGGGGCGTTAGTCGATCGTTGCCGGTAGAGTCCTGGTACATAAGGGGGCCCACTAGCGCTGTCAGCTCTATAGTAACCCGAGGAGCTGGCGTATTCAAGGCCCACCATGGCTTTTGCGAGTTGCCTCGTGAGTTAAACTGGTGTATTCATAGCCCACCATGGCATTGCGAGTCCCCTCGCTAGGCACAAGATTCTTTTATAGACACTAATGCTGCCTCGCCACAAAGTGCAATGCGGACAGACATGAGCCCTGGAAGAACCAGTAAAACCTGACAAGGATTCTCACCCTGCACTGCTGACTGCACTAGGGTCAGTTTCAGACAAATTAAGCATAAATGACATCAAAGAAAATAGCCAAGTCATTTGCTGATGATGTCCACTTAGACATTTTTCTTCTTCTTCTTTTCCTTTATCCTTTATCCTTTATTTCTCTTTACTTGGTTTGCCCAGGACCTGGATTGGGGAAAGGGTTTATCTCTTGGTACTGGCGCCTCTTTTGTTAATTTTTCCCTCATATTATACAATATGTTTTTAATATGTTTTTTGAGATCATTGTCCATACCATGTCTGAAGTGGTTTGTAAATGGGCCATTGTTAGCCCCAAGCGTTTTGGTCCCTCATTCCTGCTACTCGCCATTAAGCCTGCTACTCAGCATTAAGCCTACTGTAAAGTAAACATGTTTCTAATACAATAAAGAAACTAACCCTGCCTCACTAAATTCAACCAATTGCCATAATAAAAATACAATAAGCAATCAAATAAAATTTACTAAATAATTATAAACAATCACCAAACAAATAATTCTTCAAATTCATTTCAAGTCAATTGCTAATTTGTGCTTGTATTTTATCTATGATTAAAGAAATGTAAAATAAAACTTGTTGTTTCATTGAAAATTTATTGTTTCATTGACTCTATCAACAGTAATTGAATTAGAAACTATTACATCATACATGGACATACCTAAACATGTTGTTGTACTAAATATGTTAGGTAACGGGTGATACTCGTAAAATATTTGTTCCGAATATTAAGACTGTTCCTAATTTTAAAACAGTACTGATCGACGAATTTAATAATCTATATAACTCGGCGCGCGTCTTGGTAGGTTATAAATTTCCAATTGGACAGTTTAGTCGAAAGAATTGTCTTTTCTTTATATAAACATTTTCTTTTTTTCTAACATAAGTATTTTAAATCATTTAATCAAATTGAAAATTTGATTTTAACCAGATTGTTGGAATATTTATACATTTTTTGCAACTTTATCTTAAAACATCAAAAATTACAAATTACTCCCAATGCGAGCTCTTCACTCGTGATGTCACATGCGCGTCTACAAAAACGTTCTCGCGCGATACATATGTCCAACAAGCTATTTGCTCTGTTTTGTCACAATTTGGGCCGCGCTATGAAACAACAAGCACGTACAACCGCGCGCATCGAATTCAGAATTACCAGATTATTCTAATTCTATTTCGTGTTATAATCATAGAACGTAAATCGTTTCAGAAGTTGAAGCTGCTTGTACAAGGTCTTACTGCTCGATATCACAAATTAGACATTTTAAAAGACCCGTTTAATATATATTTAGTATAACTACGATGCAGATGTACGATAATATGTTAAATCGATATGTGATATGCTGCAGTAAACCCTTATTTACCGAGGAGTTTGGGGAAGGAAACATCCGTGATCCGCAGTAAATTGGGGTACACGGTAAATCGAGGTTTTTAATTGGTTTACGGTTTGTTTGGTTTACGGTTTTGCAGTGCAGCGGAACAAAACGGTTTTTAATTAAAACACATAATAAATTTGTTACCAGTTAAGTACACTCAATAATAAATCGATTTATCATTGACAACGCATGATTTTGCCATTTGTAAAAATTATATGTAAATAATTTAAACTGATATGAACGGGTGGTACTCGTAAAATATTTTGTTTTTGTTTCAACTCAGCGCGCGTCTTGGTTGGTTATGAACATACACATTTAAACTAATTGCAACATATCTACAAATCTAATAAATTTATTGACTTATTGAGTATTATGTAACGCAGTGGAAATATTTTAAGCGGGTAGTATCCTGTTCAAACCCAAGATATATTAAATAAAGAATTTTGTATAAATGATAAAAAAACATTAATAAAATTGCGCGCTCGCTCACGTGTCAAAATCGCGCGCACAGTCTCAAAACTTTTGGTAAAACAGAGGTGATGTACTCCGCAAACATTCCACCTCTTCCACCTCTTTACATCAAGCCAGGCTTAATTTGTATATACCTCTTCCACAAGCCACTCAAAGTTGCCCGCCGGATTAATCTAGCATTTCAATTTCATAGCGTGATCAGTGTACGACGTATTTTATTTGCAAATGCTTTACTATTACTTAGAATTTAGGAGCAAATTATCCGTATTGAATGGTAATTCATATTACATAACAGTTCTTTTCTAATTTGTTATCGGCATATCTGTTGTATGCTTATTACCTGTCTCATTTGAACCTTTATATGAAATTGATTATTATTGCATTATTGTTTTGTGAATCTTCAGATTTTAGAGTCAAGATTGCTTTTAATTGTACTTCTAATTGTTTAGAAATGAATTCCGCGATCATGAATTGTAATGAAGATATCGATCACACTGAAATACACTTCGAGACAGGAGTAGCATTAACCAACGCATCGTTTGTAAGTAAAAATTTTTTATTAAGAATGCTTTAGTTTCCATATTTTATCGGAATAATAATGCTGATGAACATTATAATCGATCATATCCGACAATAACTTCCGAATATAGTCTTTAATTTACAGCGTACAACCGTCATTACATTCAGTTGATGTTTATTGGGCCACTTTCAGTTTAAATAAGCTCTGCAATTTATAATATTCTCGGCATAACTCCTGAAAGAGGGATATAACAAAGTGAACTTTTCAGATATACAGCGGGGGCATAGCGAATTCTTGCCAGTAGTCTAATGAGATTCATTATATGTCTCCATGGTTACCTGTCCATAGTTTCCGGTGCCCCAGCCTGAGTTAAAGCAATGAGGGCTGCTGTTCTCACAAAGAGTGATGTTTACTTTTTGGTTACAAAACAACTTCAGAGGTGGATGCTCAATATTTAGTTTCTGTAGTTATGTATTAGCAGCTTCTTAAATTAACAACAATTTCTAACTAACTCTGTTTAATACAGAATATATTAGATAACCACATTAGACGATTTATAATTACATCAACAGGTAAATGTTAAATTACAAATTTGCTAATAAATTATGTCTCCAGGAACGGGGCATAGTGGTGTGTACACTGGACATGACACTAACAGGAATTGTCGTGATGGGAAAACACGGACTTAGTTACACTCCTGATCCTCTGTCAAACAGGTTATTTGATATTATTAACACGTGACTTTGTACAGCAGAGTTTCATAATTATTGGTGCGTAGACAATTTAGCGTAAAATTTTAGCATACCCAAGCTTTTAGAAACGATCATTACATGACTTCTGAGGGTCAGTTTCCTATGGAATCTTGATCATTCGAGAGATAATCCTTCATACTACAATTCAGTCTAAAAACTAAGTCCGAAAGAAGTTAAATTTCGTCGATAAACACGACGAAAGAGAAAAATTTGGACCCTGAATTCCGGGATGATTCCGCCCGACTATTTTCTTGCGTCAGTTAGAGGAGAAAGAGAGCTCTTATAAAATCTATAGTTTTCTATATGTTTCGCTATCACCTGAAGAGCTGTGCACTTTAGCCTAAAGAATAATTTCAGAAAAAATTCACACCTAAAATCCCTTACTCCTAAGTATGGAATCGACCCTTAAGGTAACAGCCTAGATTATGGGTTTTGAGGTACATCAACACAAAATTCTGAGAGTTAAGAAAAAGTTCAGACGGTTGTCTACAGACCAGTTTTTGAATTTTGTAATTTCGATATTCAGAAGTAATGTTATGACCCGTCGAAAATATTGATTTCACCAATGTACCAGGTCTGTTTAAAATCAGTTACAAGCGCAGCGGCCATTTATTTATCAACAATCCTTGCCAATAAAAGTATAGAGGGACATGTGTAGTAACATTCTTGTAATTATAAGCTACCTGTGTTGGTGATTAACGATTAATGAGCAGGGTGAGTCGATAGTGCTCTGGCTCTGTTTGAACCGTAGGGTTTCAACCTCATTTTGAGCACCCAAAAAAGGCAAAACATATCTTTCTGCTACCTCCTGTTCTCTATTGCCTGTCGTGTCCACTTCTGATGAATCGACAGCTCATGACATCATACATTGACCTTATTCTTACTGGGCGCACTCAGCCTGTCATTCCGCCGAATCTCTATTCGGCGGAATAGATGTTATGTTTATGAACATAATAGCCTGAGGTCCCAAGCACCAAGGTAAACTAATTCAGGATATGACCCGACATCTTAATTATTACCGTATCTTTTTTACAATTATTTAAGGATATGTCCCGACATAATTATTATATATGAGCATTCATTTTATACCACATTCCATAACAACACGAACACCTTTTATCGCATTGAATCACCTCACCGACACTTCTGACATCATACTGTTCCTGCAAGGCGAAGCAGCAAAGGGTGCGGCCAGGCTACAAGCTTATGGCAGCCTCACTCTTGAAACTATCGCCTTCAGGAAGGGAACTATCAAAAATCATACCACTATCAACAAACAATTCATGGCAGACCTCATTATCCCACCTAGAGCAACGAGAGACCTAACAATGCAACACCAACCATGATGCTGGGACGGCACTTCACCGTCACAACTCCTGGAGCCGATACCACTGAATATAGAAATTCACTTCAAAACACCATTGACAACATTACCAGTGAAACGATCACCTGCTACACTGACGGGTCACTCACAGACTCAGGATGCGGGGCTGGCTATATCATCACGACTGACAACAATAACACCACCCTTGAAGAAAGATCATTCGAGCTCCCTGATTATTGCACTGTTTACCAAACAGAGCTCACCGCCATCATTGAAGCTTGCAAATATCTCTCTACCTATACCAACACACATATCATCATATGGTCTGACAGTCTCTCATCTATACAAGCTATCTCTGCGCTTTCAACGCGGAGTAGAACTACAAGAGACTGTTACGACTCTCTTAATGCACTCGGATCCAACAACACGCTAGAGATACGATGGATTGCAGCACACATCGGATTGTGGGGGAACGAAAAAGCAGATGAGCTGGCCAAGCTTGGTACAACCAGTGAATCCACTTTGAAGTGTCCAATTCCACAATCCTACATCAAGCGTCAAATCGACAACAAAGTCAACAGACTGAATCAGGAAACTTGGTTAACTGACGGTCCCAGACACACCAAACTGACACTCGGCCACAAGCATGCCAAAATCATCAAAAACCTCAACACTACACTCAGCAAAAACAGACAAGATTATAGAACTGCAGTTCACCTCATCACGGGTCACTGCGGCTTAAACAAACACCTTCACACCATTTGCAAATCAAACACCAGTGCTTGTCCTATGTGCGGCGACGGAGAGGAAACTGTCTCACACTTCCTTGGACAGTGTCCAGCTATTGCCCAAATTAGAGGTCAATATTTCCAGGACTACTACCTCTCTGTCAATGACATATTCGACAACCAACACATCACCACAATTGTCAATTTCGCAAACCGCACCAAACGCTTAATTGTGCCGGAAGAGCTGGATCAGACCGGGGTGACTTAAAGTATTATCTCATATGCTGTCTCGTCTCGTTTTACTTTTCTAAACCCAGCTGGCATTTAAGCGTATCATTTTGACTCATATATCATCTTACACCATCCTCCACCAATCACTCTGATTTCACCGGCAACCATCCCCAAGGTTGCCACACCCCAGAGGTAGGCAGAGCATCTCAATGCTATCCTCTCGTGGGCTATCTTGGCCCAGCCTCTCTTTAAAAAAAAAATAAAAATAACAACACGAACTTCGGCTCTCGTTAATACCACATACCATAACAACACGAACTTCGGCCCTCGTTAATACCACATGCCATAAGAACACGAACAACGGCCCTAATTAATACCACATGACCTGTTCATGACGTGAACTGTTCGATTAAAACCATATGCCATTAGAACACGAACAACAGCCCTAATTAATACCACATGATCTGTTCATGACGTGAGCTCATGAGCTGTTCAATTAAAACCACATGCCATATAAGAACACGAACAGCGGCCCTAGTTAATACCACACGATCTGTTCGAATGACGTGAACTGTACAATAACAAGCTCCTATCAGAGAATAATCACGTGTACGATGCTTGCTTGATCAGCATCAGCTTGTTATCTCTGTCACCGGAAGAAGGGGTATATAAGATATCACAACGAGGATCATTCATATTACCCACCATCCAACTGCTTTCGCTACAACATCTCAGCACCTACCCCTTATTCCTTGGTCAGGACCGTAGCTTTCTGCTACTTTCTGTTTGACAACACACCCTACATACCCTCCTCCTTAGTTCGGTAACGTATCTCTCTGCTACCTCCTGTCCTCCATCACTTGTCGGATCGATGGATCGACAGTTCATTACATCATACATTGATCTTATTCGTGATTCACATAGCTTAGGTTCTTTATTTGGCATTTATTTCCATGACATTAAGGATGAATTACCTCCTCTCGCATATGATTATTCTGATGACCTCACAGTATGTTCCTCTGTAGTTCTTAGGCTAGAATGTGGAAATAATGTATTCGTATCTGCCGCTAAAGTTAGTCCGAGGGACCCCTCTGTAAGATTATTCTGTGTCTGATTGATTTTGATTGGGAACTGGGTTTTACTACCCCAGTTTATGTTTACTAAAATAGATATTGAACAGCAATTTAATAAGATAAAAATCGTACCAGCGTACTTTAAAATCTGTACGATTCATGAAATCAAAAGTAGCTATGACCATTAAGAGTTAAATATATTGTTTATATTCCACATCATGGACTCGTGGCTCAATGAAACTGCGTCGGAAATTAAAGCTCAGCTAAAGCCTGAAGACTATTCAGTCTTGTATAGAAAATAACTACAGCTACCAATATGTCCCTCACAAACATGGTCCAAAACATATCAAAACAGCACACGAAACACTCAAAAAAAAGAAGTTGTCAACCGTTGCTCTCATCGGCACAATAAATTTGCCCGTCCTTTATGTAAAACTTTTTGGTCGGTTCTGCGAGTGCCCGCTTCTTCATGTCCTGTACCAGATCTTTCCGGAGCTTCCTCTGTTCGACAGACCGATCAGGGCTCAAGAAAACTGTCTTAAACTTCTCACTCTGCCGCAGGTTCCTGGCATTCCTCAGAATCTGATAAACGATGAGCGAGTTTGAGTTCTCTGAGCCTCTACTTTTGGCTTTATGCCAATAGTTTCCAGAACTTCACTGACTTGAGATTCGAGCTTCTCTTCTTTTTCCTCAGGCAGACCGAAGATAAGAAGGTTCCTGCTGCGGTCCTCCTCTGCAACAATAGTTTTGACTACAGACGTCAATGCTTCCGGGCTGATTACTGGAGACTGTGCTGGCAAACTTTGAACGACAGAGCTGTAAGATTGGAACTCCGCTTTCACTGAATCAGCAACTGAACTTGACACAGTTTTCTTCATCGCTTCAAGTTGCTCAGTCTTGCAAGCTGATAGCTCGGCCTGAACACTGATAACCTGCTCTTGCTTCTCAATTAACTGACCCTGAATTTGCCTTTACTCCTAACTTCCTTGTTTCATTTGTCCTTGTCTCTTCAAACCGGATAATATCCAGATATCAGTATTTTAATCATGAGACTAATAAACAGCGAACTACTCCGTTATTTGATATCCTTTTTCACCGGTTCAAAACACTTTCATGTCATATTAGAACTGATAACTTATAAGATAGATCAGTTTTAGGCTGTTTTGGGCGAAATCTGAAATTGAGAAAATATGGTATCTTCAATTACTAGTAATTTTCGGTTAGATCCCTTCAAGAAATGTTCATTGTAAGCACTTGCAATGAAAATAATTGGCGCGCGCGTCGATTTGAAATGATCTAGTTTGTCCGCTACTTTATTAATTAAAACCTTATCTTTTCCAGGGGAAGCTAAAGGAATGTTTTATCTCGGAGTATTAACCGGTGAGTTATTATTTTCAACTTAGTTTTTGTTCAATTCTTGTCTCCAAATCTTTATATTAAATTAATGTTATTAAATTGTAGTTTGGCTCTTTTTATGTTCAATAATTCACGATTGACTATTACTTCCTATCGTCAGAACGAACGTTCGAAGGACGAAGTCTATAAGAATTGACGAACCGGACTCTGACAACATCAACTGTATTAGAAGTACTCCTCCACAAGACCTTTATAGACGACTGCCCAGTGTCCACGTAGCTTAACAGGCTCTGAAAAAAAATCGCTGCTACCGCTGACCCTCTTACTATATACGTGTGCTCAGAGGCAGTATCTGGCATGTCTTTTGAGTCGAGAGCTAAGCTTGGCTGCCAGATAACAGGATGGTTCAACGAAGCAGTCCGGATGCTAACCGACGTGGACATCCTTTTAATCCCCGTGACGAGAAGCAACTACAGCTATCTTCACACTACATCAATACTAACTCTGGAAAACCTGTCCTGCTCTGGGACTCCGACTATTCCGCCCAAATCAGACGCTCCTTCCTCTTTGGAACCCCTCGAGATACCTCTGCTCTCTTGACGCTGAACACCTGATCCTGGATGGAACCTCTGCCCTCGTACAACCTATTCACTCAGCTCTTTGCCGTGCACGGCCTGTTTGACGATAACTGGCACATCCCCCTATCCTATGGACTCCTGCAACCACAAGCAAGCGATGGACCGGAAATTCAACAATACATCTCCATGGCTTGGCGGTTCTTCCTACAGACATGGTGGAGTTCTGCAGTTTCTAAGAGTCTACATGGATCGGGACCTCTTCAACCAATCCTACCTTCGCTCACTACAAATGGAACCTGCACGATTCCACCAAGATGCTGCTTCCTCGGAGTACAAGATAGCAGAAGGATGGCTCCACAGATTCCACTCCATGTTATCCTGTTCAAATCCTACTTTCTGGAAGTTTCTGGACTGTCTGAAAGTGGATAAAGTATGAAGAAAGACTGCAGACTGTTGTTGACGTTGTCACCTCATACGACGAGTATGAGGTGCTTGATTTTCTAATAGTTATTGGGGGGTTTCTATTGGATTTTATGATTTAAATTTATTAATATGACTCTAAAATTGATTAACGTGTTACGGGTAAACCGCCCCTAAAACGTCACCTGTTTTTTGGGCCCAGATTGCCGAGTTAGGGCTAAATTTACAGGGTTCTGAAGTGTCTAGGAATAATATTTAAACCTTTTTCTAGCCTGCCAGGAAGATTTGGAAATTTGAAAATAAAATCAGGTACAATTTTTTTGACGTTGAAATGGAGTCACTTTTAAAACACCACCCCTAAAATGTCAACTCTATATGTGTGATAAATACAAAATGTACAGGAGGCCTGATTTATCTTTTGTCACTAGTACTATTTGTGTTGTCTTATTAAAACATTAAGCTACTTGAAAACATTCACTCACTAAAGGAAGTACCTCAAAACCGTAATCAACCCCTAAAATGTCACGTGCACTACCCCTAAAACGTCAGCTAAAACAGGTTGTGTAGCACTCAGAATGTTGCTCAATTATTAATTTTAACCACTTCTGGGACAAATATAACCTATTTCTGAAAGGTGTCGACCAGAATTTCTCTCTGTTGAAAAAAAATGGTGGAATTTAGTCAATTTACTTTTTGTGACATTTTGGGGACTTTTTTTGAATACCCAGAACTTACGGCAAAACAGTAACTCAGTCAACAAAATTTACAACTGTAGTTAGATTATCTAGTTATAAACTAACAATTGGCACAAAAGAAATGGATTCAATGTGATTTTAACCTTGTGCAAATTGCATGTTTTAATTGCATTTTTTGGGATTTTTAACATCATCCTGCATCTTTGGCAATTTTAGTGACCTGTAGTTAACTAAGCCAACCCAGTAATCGATCTGACCTTCTCTATAGACTAGATTTGACTGCTTTTAGCAAAATTGAATGTTAAAAACTACGGTTTTTGGTACTTACTAGTTTATGGTAAACCTATGATATGCCCCCTAGAATGTCATTTTTTTTCTCCCCTAAAATGTCAACATTGTATTTTGTTCGCATGGTGTGCGATAATAGCTCTTGTTTTGGCACTTGTTAATTATTAACATCAACTGTTAACGAAATGTGAGTATGCATTGCATCTTAGGAGAAGCATGAGTAATTTGATCAGGTTAAAATGACATTTTAGGGGGGATAATTAGACATTTTAGGGGATGTTTATTGCGATTGATAAAATAAAACTAATTCCTTGAGCTGCCAAAGCTTTCCAATATTACCATCAGATGCTAAATATGATGTTTAATAGGCTGGTACCTCCATTTTATGGTGCTTGTAGTCTCAAAGCCAGAATCTGATAAAATGACATTTTAGGGGGCGGCCAGGTGACATTTTAGGGGAGGGTAGTAATATTGAGTAATGTATAACTTTCCAATCTCCAGTCATATGTACAAAGTTGCTAAAATATGTAAATATCACTATCCTAGACCAAAACCGAGTTAATATTAATGAATTCCAGAGTTATAAAATTGTGCGCTTGTTTTCAAAAGTAAAAAATTCGTACAAAGTGAAAAAAATGCCCTTATGGCATCATTTAGATTCAATTTCAGGATGTGGCAGGGTCTGAATGATATTTTTTTATGTTTAGGAGTTTCAAATGATTAGGTAAGATACTTTCTAAGAAAATGGGATCCAATCGATCAAGAGTGGCGTTTTAGGGGTGGGTGACATTTTAGGGGCGGTTTACCCGTAATAAACATTGATAAAAATTGGGGGAGAATTCGACTTAGATAATAGAAACTGGTATACCGTTACTTTAACTGTATATATTAGTTTTCTCAAGATTTGAGTTTGGAAATTATAATATTCTTTAAAACTTTTGAAATCACAGTAATGTTTCAGGGTACACCTAAGTATTTGTGTACCTCTCTCATAATATTCTTAAGTACAATCAACAAACAGATATTAATTGTATCAATTGTTTTCTAGCCAGTTATATCAAAACTCAGATCGGAGAAAGATACGCTCTCGAGGATCCCTAAAAATTTGGCTTTAGGCTGGTTAAAACTAACAATTGTACTAGTATAGACAGGAGGGTGTAAAATGCAGCCAAGAGCTCTCCCATCTAACGTAATCAATAACATAAAGGTTCCAATAGTTGACTTTTTCAAATCTTTCTCTAGCTGGCCTTTAATGAATACAATTGAAACCATCTGATCTGATCCCAATCCCTACTAACAAAAGTATATGCAAAAACCCTTCCCTCATACCCATTACCCTATTACTGCTTACGAGAAATTATACCAACTTCATCCTAAAATACGGTCATATCATTATCACGTACAACGTATACTTATAGTCCGTATAGTATACAGTATACTTGTTTAATACGTTGCTATTTTTTGTCTCCCTTATCTTTAAAAGCTTATCAGCTCGATACTGCTGCATACTGTGGCGGTTTGTGTACATATTGGAAATAGTACATATTATCGAGTACATTTGAAGAATAAGACGTGTACATTTGAAGAATAAGACGTGTCAACTGTCATTTTTTGTCAATATGGAAACAGAGAATCAGATTAAAACTGCGATTGGGGGCCTGCTTCTCCGGCCGGGCAGAGTCTAATGTACTAGTTAAACGTGTCCTCGCTGCATTTGATCCATTTGCTAAGCGTACCGTCAACTACAAACAACTGAATCAGTTCAATCTCGATATTCTGGAGCCATGTGCAGAGTTTCTCCGTATTAACCTTGCAGACGAAGATGACAATAAACTGTACACCAAGGAGTCATTGGTATACCGCATCATATTTGGTATCTCTTCACTTCTTCCAACTTCCTGCGGTGACTGCAACGAATCATATGTTGTCGAATTGGATGCTGAAGAGCCACCCTTATTCGTTTGCTACACATGCTTCCGGGGTTCTCACAACTGCGAGAATGTCAAAACTTTCCACAAATGTATGTCAGCAGTCAGAAGCATTTATAATCAGTCCCCTATCTGGGCACGTGTGGATGTGTAAGGACTGTAAAGCTACACATAACCCCCTCAAACCCAGAAAGTCTAAATCAAGACATATAAATTCCCAAAGGTTTTAAAATTAAAGTCTAGAGAAGTTAAATATATTCATGTTCACGGACTTCCAAAGTTTTGGGACTAGAATTATCAATGATCGACACAGAAATGTTCCCTTTGTCTATAAGTATAACCACGATCCAATAAATGTAAGCAAAAACTATATTCATCACTTATTTATCGCCATTTAAAAGTTTATAATATTTGACCCTATGTTCTCCAGTCCTAATATATAATATAACCGGCCCGTATAATATAACCCGTAAAGAGCGAGTAGTGCGACCGACGTAAGCCTTTCCACAGACACTAACTACATTGGGAAATAACAAATAAATGATGTTGTAACTCTATAAGCAGTAGAAGTTTCCACTTTCCAAGGGAAGCTTTAAGTTCACAACATTTGCATCGTGGCACATTGCATTCGCTGGTTCATGGTTGGGCCATGTTTAGCTTCTAAAGCAAGTAAAGTTCTTTCAATTTGACGAGGCGAGATTTTAACAACATGACTCGCAGGACTGCTGTATTTAGCACACGCGCGACTGTAATGATATGAAAAATGAGCCGTCCGCTCATGCCTATATATAGTCATCGTGTCCATAGATACGTGAAGCGACGCGTATCCATAGATACGTGTAGCGACGCACAAGTTATTCTATTATGAATTCATTTTGTTCGGCGCGCGGCGTATGAATTTATTTTGACCATATAAATGTTCATAACTTTTTATGAGAACCTGTGCTGAGTTTTTTGAGAAGGGCGACATTCGATTGAGCATTTTTGCTATCCAATGGTATAAAATGTAGCACCAGCGCAATTATCGCTCAACAATCTTATTTCTACGCGCAGCTCTCAGCGGGCTTCGGTAACTAAAACTTAAATATTAAAAACTCTTTAGCTTTGAATATGGCGGAATGATAAATTGTCCAACAAGCTAAAAATAAAAATAAATTTCGCATAAAATAAATTTAATCTATAAATAATTTGTCATACGTTGTATGACCCGCCGCGCACGAAGTGCGCGGCTCCCCCTGTAGCGTCGAAGACATAGTGAAACGACCGTGGGGGTCGCAACGTGATACAATAAATAATAACTATTCGAAATAAATTTGTTGATAAAATTTTGAAAGCGCCGCGCATAACGTATTTTATCAACTGTGAAAATCGAGCGCTGTTTTAAACTTTGGTATATGAACATTTTTTTTATTGAAATCTTTCAATTATTATCATCAGAATTTATTACAATATCAATGTTGTATAGAATTTCTAAAAATGGACTAGAGCGACCAAGAAATGCCTTGACAAGTGTACAGCGATGATAACAATCAGGGGACACCAATACACCCAAATAACCAAACAAAAGGCCTCGAGAGACCTGATGAAAAGTCGAGCAATTACATTGGGCCCCAAGTGCAGAAGGAGAAAAATGGGCAAATAATATGAGCTGTGAACTTAGGAGGCATTTCTAGGTTTTTAAGAATAATTGCCACAACCCAAAAATTCTCAATTACAATTGGCTGATTTGTAATATTTCCAATGGAATGAAGTTTTAACGATAAAATTTAAATAATTGAATATAAAAGACTAAATCAAAATTGTATCCGAATAAAGCAAAAATGCGTGATGAGTACCTCAAAAAAAAAATTAAAACAAAAATAATAGAGGAATACACTACCCGTAGTCTGGAGAAAAAGAATTGTCAGGATCTGAACTAGGGTCAATATCTACAGATGCAGTACAAACATGTTCCTTCCAGATGTGTTTAATAAGTTCTGTTTTAAACACACCTGGTCTGATAATCTCTCGAAGGGAAAGAGGAAGTCGGTTCCAAGTGAGATGAGCTCGATAAAAGTAAGATTTAGATATAGCTGAGCCAGGTGGAATTGAAGATATTACTGATAAGTGATCAAGATGTGAGCTTCTCAGTCGGCTTGACCCGGAGAAGAAAGTAAGGTACTGAGGCAGAGTGGTGCATGGGTGGTATTGATGCACTAGGGAATGAAAGAACTTGAGATCATGGTAATCAAACCTGTACTTTAGGGGCAGAATATTTAACTGTTTACAATGGGCATTATAGATTTCCTCTACACTATAGCTTACACCGTAATCATTACGAATCCATTTGAGGGCCCTTTTCTGCAATCCTTCAAGCCTATTGATAGTGCTACTGGACGCTGGTCGCCAAATGATGGGACAGTGTTCGAATATTGAGCGTACAAGAGTAAGATACAAGACTCTTCTCTTGTTCAGATCATTAATAAAATGACAATTTCTCTTAAGCATGCCAAATTTTTGGTTAGCTTTACCATA